GACTACGGGAGCAATGAATGTTTTGATTTTACAATGATGTGTACCTATATGATTCTTGTAAAAAAATTTTCTTATTTTGTTGTTATTCAACAACTATTAACCGTCGATATTTAAAATGTCCATCGAATTTTTAAGCTATCATTTTCTATACATCATAAAATTTTCAAAATATTTCGACTCGTTTTCAGTGATTTATATACATTTGAATTATGAAATGTTTTTAGTTCTGTATTCTATAAATATCAATACAATTTTATTCGTTGAGTCAGACAGCTTAAAAATAATTTTAAGTTCCTCGTAAGTTGATATAATATCAGTTAGAAATAAATAGGCAGGTTTTTTTTATAGGCGTTTCTACAAAATTTATCATAATCTGGTCAATTTTCAAAATATTTTGGTGTAAGATATTCATACAAAAATGTCTTTGTTTACCTACCCATAATATGAAAAAGTTTCCTCATAAGTATTTATAATAGCAGTTAAGAAACAATAAAGATCCATAGGCACTATTTTTTTTATAAGAAATTAAAGTTCAATTTTGAACAAAATTTATCAAATTGATAGTTGACAAATAACTATTTTGTAAATAAAAATTTATAAAATGTTCAACTTTCATTGCTAAGGATTGAAAATTTAAAACAAGAGATCTCATAAATAGTTCATACTGTACCTAACCAAAAAATCTAAATAATCAATTAAACACACTGTTAAATTTTACAGATATTATTAGTTCAAATTTGGAAGAAATTACTTATTAAAACAAAGAATAGCGATTTTAGATATTTTGTTGCAATTTAAAAATTGTAGGTATTCGTGGATTCATGAAACTTTTAGAGTATATCATTATAATTAATACACCTACTGACCTACACGATGACACTGTCAAATGTAATTGTTTGGGCAAAAATTGCTTTAACCTACTCTTGTACAAATGCATAATAGTAAAATAAATTACTTTAATCACAACATTATTTATAACTGTCTTTGCTCAGAATCGTTTTTCGTTTGTATTTTTATAATTTATAAATGAATTTATTATTATTAATAATTATATTAATTAATTTAATACTATATACCAATAAATTATATATTAATTAATAATTTTAGAAACATTGTATTCGAGAAAATAAAAAAAAATGTGATTTTAATTAGTTTTGTAATGTACCCCCACCTATATGTAAAAAATAAATTAATATAATAATAACTGTTGAATTTTTAGGGACGCATTCGTGTACGTATTACACTATATTTATATATATACGAATATATCAGTATATTATTCATAAGTGCACACACGGGAGGATATGCAGACATGCAGTTGACCATTCGTGAACTTTTATGTGTACATGGTTATACGTCCCTACTTCCTATGATATAGATATTAGGTGAGCAATAGAAGTTGAGTAGGTATGTTACACTAAGTTAATAGTTACCTACCAATAACTTATAACGTTGGATTTGAAAAAAAATGACCAGTTATAAATTAAAATTGTATTTTATGACTATTATTATCAGTTAAAACATATATTTCTATAAATTAAACCAAAACATATGTCTTTTTCAAGTAAACAATTTTCATATTCACCTATTAATTACAATTATCCTACGATCGAGGACTGGAAAAACAATTTATAAAATATGCGTATACATGTATTATTGAAATAACACATTTTTCCTGACATTAAATATTTATCTTAATTCTTAAAAGTAAATTTAAGCCCCAAAAGAATATGAAAACAAATTTACTTTAAACATCGATTCTTTCGGCTGAATCCGTTACGTGTGTTCACTGCGAGGCTGACGAGGAAAATCTCCATAATATACAGAACTTAAAATATTGTGATTGATGAAAAATAAAATTATACGGAACGCAGTAAGTTGTTTGCTCATATCGGCTTTGCTTATTGAAATTTTGGAATTTTTAATGACGACTGTGTCCTCTGCAATGAATTTGAGATTTGCCATGGAATATAAATGATAGATATTATACTAGGTTCGTGAATAAGATGAATCCACGGATATCATATAGGTACCGCAACTTTTTATGTCAAAGAGTTCCGTGCTGAGGAACAATATTTGTTTGTTGAAATTTTATATTATGACAAAAATCAAAATAGTTTATAATTTTGAATTTCAATTATAATTTTCGTTTCTTAATTTAATTATTTATTAATATGGTGAATATATATCAGAAGTACAAGCATATTTTTATAAAAGCATAATATTGTATTTTAAAAATCATTAAATGAAAATGTGATTCCTGGATTTTAGAGTTGACATAAAGATATACTCGTACAGTACCTAAGTACATTAAATTTACAGTACCTACCACGATACCAACTAGATTTGTAAAATTCCAAGTCTAACATTTTCTACGAATAGATACTGCTGATCACAAAATTATTAATTATTATTTAATATTATGTTAATTTAATTGTATCGGGTACCTATAATTTATATTTTAGATTCTGAGCGGAGCAATGAATATTTTGACTTTACTATGATGTGTATTTAATTTTTAAATTTTTTTGTTATTATTTCTTTTTTGTGTTTGATGCGTACACGATAAGTAGGTAGGTAGTCAAAATAAACCTTCGTGTTCCATGCATAATATAATTTATAGGTACTCTGTATGTAATTTATGATCATAGTTTTATTTTTAAGTTTCTTTGTATTTAGTAAATAATAATATAGGAAATTGTATTTTCGAACATTAATTTTTTGTTTGTATTAAATACTTTCACCATAATAGGGAACTAAAATTGTCATTTATCGTTAAAACAACCAATTTTGTGAAAAATTCAATTTTGGTAGGTAAGTGTTTGGTGTAGGCATAATAAATGTTACATTAAAATTAAAAAAATTCAAAGAATTACATTAATTGGATTATAAATTAGAATATAGGTACTACAGTTTCCAGCTTCTACTACAACATTACGTTATATTATGTAAATCCCAAAATAATATGAAAACAAACTTACGCTGAAACATCGACTCTCCCGGTGAAACCTAGCTAGAGTGCATCATCAACAATGCAAACGTCCAGTACGTAACGCCACCGAAGAAACAGCTATCTTCATCTCGTTCCGAACTGTAACTTGAAATCATCGAAATATTTAATGAAAATTACCTGAACATAACGAAATGTGGGAATTCGTGTTAAAACTTACATAATAATATATACGGCTTAACGAACTATCTGTCCATATTGATGGCTTATTATTTTTTTTTTCACTAAAATTATTAGAATTGTTAATCGTCGCGGACGAATGTCGACAATTGGCGATTGCCATAGATGATATAAAATATATTTTTTAATATGATAAATCCATAGAACTTCTACACTCAGCACATAAACGGTCTATTGATAAATCGTGTGTTATTTTACAGAAATGATTGTGGTCTGCAATGTATTCTTGTTTTCTATTTCATTTATTTATCGCATACTAAATTTAACCAAACAAATTAGTCCGCAAATTTTTACCTACAAATTTATAAAAAAAAAGTGGTTGGGACAAGGAACTTTATGAATTTTAAACTGATAAATAATTTACAAAATAATTGTCTCATGACTATAAATTGCTCAAAAAAGAGTCAAAATAGTTTGAAAATTTTACCATGTATGGAAAATTCAAGTATAAATATTTTTTACTTTTTTTGTTACAGGTGGAAAAACTTATGTAACTTCTTCTATTTAACTTACCCTACCATTAATATCAGTAATATCACTGTAAAAATAAATAATAACTAAAAGTGATAATTTGAAGACAATTTCTTAAAACCCTAGAATATTTTTTTAATTTAGTGTCTAAACCATATAGTTTAGCACCCAAGCAAATTTTTCAATTTTTTTTTTTTTTGGAAACCTATGATTTGCAACCAGTTATAAGATTTGTGATGCAAAAATTAACTCACGGAAATCATAAGTTGTTATCGCATAGCCTTACGAAGTTCACGATTTTCGGTGTTTTACTCACCCGTACAACGCTTAAAGTTTACCGAGCTTAAGTAGGTATAACAAATAACAATTTTTTTAACCTAGTTAAATCAACGTCTTCAGAATGATGGTGCAAAAATAATTCATGAAAAGTTTTACATAACAAGTCGAGGGATGTTTTTAATTATAACTGTCCGAGTGAGCACAGCGTGCAAGTGAATACGCCGGGTAGATATATATGAGATAACCAAAAATTTCAATTAGCTGTAACTTTAAAATAGACTTCCCTATCATTTTCAATTAAAAACTAATGATTTTCGGCAATTAATTTTTGCAATATCGTTCTTGCTGTAATTAAATTCTCGTAAGGATTTAACTATATAAAATATTTTAAGATTATAAAATAAAAAAAGGTAGGCAAGTTGATGTCGCTCTGCTGTACTGTATAAGGTTACAGGTGGGCCACTGTATAATGTATGGTATTAAAATATTAAATTTGAATTCAATGATATAATATCATTGGATAAGAAAAACGATTCTGAGCGGAGACAATATATGTCAGTCTAGGTATTAGACATAAATAATAAAAAATTGATCTATAATAAATTCCAAAATAATTCATATCACAATATTCATTACTCATTAGGTACTTATAAGTTATAACGCGTTATACATCAACAACAAACCGTGATACTATCATATATATAATAATTATAATAGTATACTTTAGAAGTTTCAAGTACCCACCAGGGGCGTAATTAGGGGTGGATAAGGGGATAGATCCCCCCAGAACTTGTTTTTTAATTTTTAAATTTTTGATCAAAGTATTGGTAATGACCATTCATCAGGGCTGTATTTACCATTTTTCCGCCGCGGGGCACAACATTTTTTTCCGCCCTTTATAGACACATTTTAATATTTTACTAATATAGCGTTAATTGGGAGAAAAATAAAATTATTATGCTAAAATATACAAATATTAACACAGAATAATGAATATAAAATAATATTCTATATGATTAACTATGAACTTTATTATATTAATATTAGTAAATAGTAACAATTACATTTTTCTACGAGCTTTTAACTCACTAAACTTATTTATAATATCATCATAATTTATATTAACTGTTAATTCTGACTCTATATTTAGTATTGCTAGATCATTCAGACGATCATCTTTGGTACTAGATCTTAAGTAAGTTTTAATCCTCTTCAAAGCACTAAAACTTCTCTCTGCTGAGCAGTTTGAAGCTGGACAACATAAAAACATTCTTAAAGCAATGCTAATATATGGATGAAAGACATCTTGTAAATCACTTTCTATTATTTTCTGCAACATTCCTAAAATGGTTTTAGGAGCATTGTCTTTTGGTTAAGTTAGTAGGTGGCTCTGAAAATGAATACATTCATTTGAGAATGATACAGGAAGATCTTTAGAGTAATATTTTTGTAAAACTGCTGATTGATGTCTGAATGGCATTCATGTTTGCTAAAAACGTATATCCCCCCCAACCAAATTCCTAATTACGCCACTGGTACCCACAAATAATATTATACAATCACAAAAAAATAACTAAAATAGTTATTCTAGGGTTTTTTAATATGTAATATCGTCCAAATTTGAACTTAAAATAACTATAAAAATAAACAGTGCATATATATTTTTTAGATTTTTTGATAACAGAATTAACTACTTACGTGGAATTTTGTTGGACATTTTCAATCCTTCGGTATAAAAGTTGAACATTTTCTACATTTTTTACAACAAAATAATTATTCAATTTTAAATTTGATAAAGGTTGTCAAAATTCGATCTTTAAAGAGGATGTTAGCGCACTATTTGTTTTCTCTCTCTGGCCCACGCGCAGCATAGATGAAACGCGTGAACGCATAATCATTTTTTCTATGTTTTAAAGTAATCTTAAAGTAAAATTAACCATTACAAAGAAGATAGAGAATAATATTTTTGAGGGAATGTCATATCTATTTTATATTTTATTGTTATTTGACTTTGTATTCGACTTTCAAAATAAACAAAAAAATGTTGTACATTAAAATGATGTTTGAATTGTTTTGAGAAAATATTTAGACAAATCGATATGACATTCCCTCAAAAATATTATTCTCTGTCTTTTTTATAATGGGTGATTTTACTCTAGGATTACTTAAAAACATAGAAAAAATGTTTCTGCTTAAATGCGTTTCATCTATGTTGCGCGTGGGTCAGAGGGAGAAAACAAATAGTGCGCTGGCATCCTCTTAATGCTTACAAAAAACTTGTGCCTATCTATTTTTAATATTTTTCAACTGCTATTGTAACAATATATCAGAACTCAGAAGCCCTGTATTACATTTTTACACTTTTTTACCTAACAAATAAAGTTTTATTGACATTCATAGAAAAAAAACCTAAAAAGTTGGAAACTGAGTAAATCCGTAAACAGCTCAAAACAAATCAACATCTATTTATGTATAGAAAAGGCTAATATAAACATTCATTGAAAATTTCATGTATTTACGATAATTTGTTTTAGAGTTACACAAAAAGCCAAAATCGATTTTATCAAAAACCGATCTTGCGTAAAAATTCCCATTTTTCCTTGATTTTTATTTTGTTTTTATGGGCGCTTTTCACTTTCTCACCGGAAATTGAAAATCTAAACATTATTTCGACTACTTATCGTATACACAGACACTCACAAAAAGAACACACATCAATCATCAATGTATAATCAATACATTCATGGCTCCGCTCAGAATCTAAAATTAATGGACAATGGTTAACTATTATCACAGTTCAAAGATAAAACCAATAAAAACTTACCACTTACGACTTGATATCATATTTATCCATCTAAAACAGTAAAACGTATATTTTCATAGTATGAAGTATAAACACAAAATAATTTAAAGTAAATTGAAACTGTTAGTATTGTTAATAATTATTATTTATTTAAAATAAACAATTATAAGGCCTGGGATTTTAATCATAGATAATAAAGATGTTTATTATCTATGATTTTAATGCCCTAAAAAAACCAAAAAATAAAATTTCATTATGCCCTAAAAATTCTAAATAATGCACTAAAAAATGCACTACGTATTTTTTTTTTTATAATTTTGTTATAAATTTGTTTACATTTAAATTATAGTATACATTTTAAAAAATGGTTAAAAATTTTACTAGATTTTATACAGAACTGATCGTTTTGGACTTTTTTAATTTGGAAAAACAATTATTTCCATACATTTTTATTTTATTATTTTTATATAGGTTTAGACAACATTTTATTTACCTGTACAGTGTACATATTATAGTGTCCTAGTTCGGGCTAGTTAAAGTTTGTTAAATTTACATAAAAAATCGTGTAAGAGCATGTAAACATTTTAAAATTCAAATTTTGGATTTAAATACCTTAAAAATCTGAAAACATCAAGGAAATGTAAATTAAAACTTCTTATTTTGATTCAAAAATGCATGTCACGTGTTTGTTATAAAACGAGGGCACGAGCATACGGTGGCTAGAAGGCTGAAAAACAATTCAAAGTGCATCGAAATCCTAGCCAAATTATTATAATAAAATATTATGATCTATGCAATTTAACGAACAATAGGGGGTGTGGGGGTATAGCCCCGCCAACATTATTGCTATTATAAAGACTTAAATCTCATCTCAGAACCAATCCCTAATTACGCCACTGGACCCAAGTGAAATTTGTTTAACATAATTACTAATTAGTATATTTGTTCAATTTAACATCATGAATTCGGTCCATATAATAGGTATCGTATATTAAGCAACAATTTATAATTTATGACATTGAATAAGTTTATATAACCTTACTTAGGTACCTATACTGATAATTATTTTTGAATTATTTATTAGTTATTTCTTATTGCAATAATAATATGCATTGCTATAATATTATAGTAGGTACGTAATCACAATAACGAAAAAGTACTGGTACAGTGGTAGTGTGGTTGTGGTACCTTGTTGTTGATTGAATTTCAAATTTACTAAAAAAATTAGTCGCTAAATTGCCTATACTTATCCCCTTAAAACGTATATGTTTTAAGGGATTTGGTATAGGTAATCCCACCAAAAACATATATGTAAAATGAGAGCCAAGTTCAATACTATAATATATGCCTTGGTTGTTGACTTCAACGACAAAAGAAGTGAGATCTAAATGGGTGCCAAGTTAGGATAATATATTGAAGCCTAAGGTGTGACTTGGCTACTTTTCATATACTTATAAGTACCTACTAAAACAGTAATGGAAGAGTGAAGATGATTTTCCGAAGAATAAAATAAGAACTCAAAGCTTTAGAACTTGCAAATGCTATAATATATAATTCGTAGCCAAGTCAGACCTTAGGCTTCAATATATTATCCTAACTTGGCACCCATTTAGATCTCACTTCTTTTGTCGTTGAAGTCAACAACCAAGGCATATATTATAGTATTGAACTTGGCTCTCATTTTACATATATGTTTTTGGTGGGATATCATTACTTTTTGTATGTAAATTATTATAACCGAACCTAACCTAGCCATGACGTATGCCATAAATAAAGTTTATTACTATATAATATAGGTAATTCAGTTACTAATATTAATAAAAATATTTATTATAAAATATTTTCCGTTGTATATACAGAGTATAAAATATATGTAAAATTAATATACAATTATTTTAACTCTTTTTGAGTATATTTTTAATTATCATAATTTTATTGACTGTAGTTTCTACTGTTGGGTGGATAATTCATAATTTGTAAGAATAATTATTTAATTATTTTAATTGTAATATTTAAAAAAAACAATATTAATTACATACATAGATAGAAAAAAAGTATGTTGCTGCGCGCGGGTCGACAATATCGACACATTTTCGGCTAGTCGTATTTTTGGAGCGGCGATACGGGAAAGGTAATTTAAGTCAACATTACATTACATTAAATTAGAGGCAATTCATTAATAAATTGAAAAATTAAACATAATAGATAAAATAATTGCAAAATTATAATAAAATCAATTGATTAAAAAATTAAAAATTAAAAAATTAAAAATTAAAAATTAAAAAATTTTAAATTAAAAATTTTCAAGTTTCTGATTTTTTCCTTTGTATTTACCTAACTACCTATCTGTATGCCAAATTTGAACTTTCTAGGTCATCTGGAACTGGGTTAGAATTTTGATCTATAGGTAAGTCAGTGATAAAAATGACGATTTTCGGACGTTAATATCTAAATAACGGTTTGAAGTGTGTTTATGAAATTTAGAGCACATATGTATCTCGTTAGTCTCAATATATGAGCCAAATTTGACATGTTTATGTGGAATAGTTTTTGAGTTATGAGGGGGTCAAAAGTGGCTCCAAATGGTTCGTGTAATATTACACACGGTGCTGCTCGCCAGTTCTGTTAGCTAGAACTTGGCTTGACACGCTACCGCGTGTCTAGATATCAATAAAAAATTTAACAATTTAACAATTTATTACAATACAATTATTTATTAATCTATTTAAAGTAACTTACGAATGAGTTGACTTATTAATTGTTTTAACTGCTTCAAGATTTCAAGACATAGTTTAGTGATAAAATATTTAAAATGTTGTATATAAATTTAAAAATGTTTATCATTAGGAGGTACTATAGTTACTAAATATTATATTCTCGTATTTATATTAAATTGTATAGGATAAAGCAAAGTAATAATAACTGGCAAAATACAATCATAATTTATAAGCAGCATTGCCATTTCGTGTTTCTGTTCCTAATAATAAAATTGAAATTTAATCTTTTCGATTTGCGGTTTGTAGTTCTGTGTAGTTCAATATTCAGTCGGTTACTTCGAAGTTCAAGGCACCTATAAAAATATAACCAGTTAATTATAAACTTTTTATTAAGACATTATGTAAAAATCTAAAATTATGACTTCATATAAAATTATTATTTTACACTCACAAAACAACATATAAATCTTAATATTTTACCAATACAGCCGGACTTGATTAACTGGAATGTAAAGTGAGTAGGGACCAGCCAAAAAGTTCGAGTTATTCTTGGATAATTTACAATAGGAAATTCTAGGGATTTGGAAAAAGTTTGAGGTATCAACGATTTCGAGTCAACCAAGTTTGACTGTATAGTATATTGTATATAATATATTATAGGTTTGATATCAGTGATGACGAAAAATAAACATATACCTAATAGGTATCTACTTCTAAACCATTTTACTATAATATCCAAAATTAAACATTTTATTTTTCATAAATAGGGACAATGTATACATCAAATGTAATTTGTATATATTTTATAACTGAACAGGA